AATCAACATTCCAGAAACTTGGATACCCGCCATCAAACAACACAACAGCCAATTTATGAGGACCTATGAGGAAACACCATCTAACAACCAGAATAATAATGAGGATCAAAATGCACCAATAGCAGCATACCAACATGCTAAATAGCGACAAGTAAACAATCAACCTCATCGCCTGATGAAGACTAGCAGTATTGCAGTTGAAACGTTGTGATCAACATCAAAAGTGACTTTATCATGAAACAAATGAAAAAAGTTTATCTCCTACCCAATAGCAACCTACTTATTTTAGAAAATAATATTCAGCTCTTGTGGAAACAGCAGGAAAGGCCAAGCTCTTCCTCAATAACAAAAATTTTCAGTAAATTTTAGCTTATTTTGTTTTGAAAATTTTGTTTTCACTTGAATCTGTATGGACTGAAATCTTTAATTCCAGATTATACATCTAGTAGTTGTAGGAGGCTAAATCAAGTGGAGCTGTTGTAACTTTGTGGACCATGAAAAAACAGACAGCTGCATTAAGAGCCAACCGTCTAAGTTACACAAAACATACTTCAAAAAGTGATACTGAGATTTACACAAGGTTGACCATCTAAGTTTATTATGCCACAACAAAGTGGTTATCATTGATCTTTACTTCCTGTTTTACTTAAATGTTTCACTACATCTACCCAGTTCCATCCTCTCTCTCTTTCTCCTTTAAAATTAGTCCTGTCAGCATGGCGGCGTTTCTGTGCTTTTGTTAATATTTCTCTCTTGTCTTTTTTCTTTGATTGGGTGTTTGAATCTTCTTTTGGTATTTGTTTTTCTCTCCTTTCCTCTTCCTGTCCAAATAAATAACCACTTAATCTATCAAATATTTTTGCTTGCAAACAATTGGTAGAAATGCATTACATGATTGAATATGCCAGGTCTAAAATTGGGGGATATGTAACAATGATGTTCCCCAATTTTTAAACCTTACCTCTATTGCAATAATAGGGTTTGGTTTAATTCTTTTAGCTTTAAGTTGATTTTTGCACATCAGACAATCGGCCTTGCTACCATTTTCCTATATTTTACACATACTTAGCGCTGGATTTACTGCATTTCAAGGTTTTACAGATTTCACTCAGTTGATTTACCATGTTTTGAAGTTTTACAGATTTCATTGGATTTAAACTTTCTTTTGCCATGCAATTTCCTGGTGAGCTATTTTACTCCAAGTTTGGCTGTGTGGGCACAGGTTGAATTTTCAGCATCAATTTAACCATTATTCAAATTCCCCAATTTACTTTTTGGCTGTCAATTCATCTGACCTTTTTCAAAAGTTGTCTTGAAATCTCATCTTGTGCCTGTTGTTGTTATTACACAAATGGTTTATTTGAGTTCTGTCTAATGCTTTTAAATTAAATAGTTTTGATTAAGTCATTTAAGGATACATCATGTGATATTCAAAGGAGATGGCAAAGGTTAAAGTTCTCACTATTTAATTGATTAATTAAGAAATACCACGGGGTGGCTCCAAAGAACCTTTGATTTTGACTTTTGAAGTGCATTAATAGTAAACTAGTAATAACCTGCTTTAAACAACATCATATTTTGTAATGTGTAACGATTAATGTTGTAGTAATCAGCTTCATGTGGCATCAATAATTTACTTCACTTGGCACACCATACTGACTAGAACAGTATGCAGTACTGGCTTCGTATGCTCTCCATAGGAAGGAAAAGAAGGTTGGCTTTTGGTAAGAAACTGATGGATTAGGTAAGGGTCAAGTTATTTGTCTCAGAACATAAAATATCCCATAGGTACTCATCCACAAAATTGGCTACTGGAAAACGCTTTAGTTACACTCTTGTTTTTTTTAACATTTGATGGGCATTACAAGTGATACATACAATTCAACAATAGAACTTGGGATACTTACCTGTTCTTGATTATCTTCCAAAAGCTCATGCAAGTGTTCCTTAGCCCAATCAAATATCGAGTATGTCATAGCAGTTCCGAGGCACATTTCACACTGTTCTTTGATTCGGTAGGTTATAGTTTCTTTCACCTTAGAGGTGATATGTTTGTTATAAAATGCATCTAAGTTAATATTTGGTAGACATGTCGGATAATCCAAGGGCCACGAGATTTCCAACAGGAACGATTGAGTGTGCCCATCTTCCCCAAACTTGTATTGGAAGGTTGTGCTGTTAACCTCTATAAAATTTTCATCTGCATCAAAGATAGAACGAAGAACTTCTCGCTCATCCTCCTGGTCACTGCTGCAGCTCATGCTTTGGATGCTTCGTGAATTTCATTGTCGAGCCTAGGATCATTTTGGCTCCTTGTCAGCGGTATGATCACACAATTCATGTAATGGACACGTAATGACATAACACGGTGACCATACCGCTGACAAAGAACCAGTATTGTTTCTATCAAAAGTGCGCATGCGTTAGTCTAGAGATCAATTAAATAAGGTAAAAACAATGAGTTTGAAGACAAAGTTGAAACATTAGTCAAAATATTCTGAAGAAGAGCTTCTTTTGAAGTATTTTAGCTAACCCTCAGTTGGTTGTTTCTAAAAATGAACAAGTTCGAAGCGTAAGTAAACGTTTTTTTACTGTTAGAAAATGACTTTGTGCTAGTTCAGGTGGCTTTTCGTTACCCACAAAATTATTGATCCTTTTTTGGCCAAAAACAGTCTTAAGTTTGACGATTCAAATAATGGCGATAGTACTGATGACAAGGAGGACGACGAATTCGAACCAAGAAACATGAAGGTAAGCTTTTTGTGCGTAAGTGTGTTGGAAACTTTGTGGGTTTGGTGAATAATATGATTGAATGTCATCAGTTAGTATGATGATCAGGGGCTGGATGTTCGTGTAGAAGTCCTTGTCAGCGCTTATTCCCGTGGGGTTTTATCTAAGTGTAAGGCAGAACTGATCGTAACGTAAAAGTAGACCATGGTACGTAAACTCATTGCGGTAGGCTCAAACTGATGATCAATAGAGGAATGATGTTACGATTATGGTACCATACAATATACTTTTGCATTTTTCCACTGACAGTGTGACAACTATTGAAGGGGTTATTGAAAAATTTCCACCAAGGGATCCTATTGCCAATTACATGTTTTAGTTCAAATCACTAATTAAAATCTAAATTGAGAAGCATGTCTAGTTTGGCTTTTAAAACTTTGCAAAGCTACCCAAGGTTTTGCTGAGAGTTTGGAATACAGTTTGCATTAATTAGGGTATTAATGAAGAGTTTGTTATGTTATGTGCTTGAAAATGGTTTCAAAACAGTATTGTGTTGATGATCTGCTTAGCTTATCATGATTGTAGTGATTTTGTACAATGTCATTATGAAACAAGAGAATGTGCTATTGAGATTGACATTTTTAAAGGCGTGTCACCTAGATGTGATTTTCGTTAAGTACTCTGACAGATATAGGTTTATGTTATATGTAAAGAGAAATAAATCGAGACAAAAGGTTTAAGCGAACTGTTCTTCAGTCAATACAGAAGAAGTAACCCAGGCCAAACAACAGTTGGGAGCCCCACGAGGAACCATGTCAAAAATACTTGATCTTTCTTGGAACAAGGAACGAGACACAGTCTGTGTAAAAGTCCCATCTGAACAAGTGAAGTTGACAAAGCAAGGAATCCTAGTCAAACTGGCAACAATTTATGATCCCCTGGGACTCATCTCACCAAAGACACTTTGTGGCAAGCTCATTTATCGGTCTGTTTGTAATCAAAAGAGAGCATGGGACACAGAACTATCACGTGACATGGTGAAGGCCTGGGTGAAGTGGGAGGGCAGTTTGCCACAAAGCTTTGAAGTGCCAAGATTGCTTACCCTTCATTGAGAAGAGATTGAGGGGGTTAAGCTACATTCCTTTGGAGATGCCAGTGCAAATGGAGTTGCAGCCTGTGTTTATGCTGTCATTCATCAGGCGGCCAGGATAAACCAAGGTCTGATTGCTTTAAGGTCAAGACTCTCCAAACAAGGCCTGACTATTCTGCAGCTTGACCTCGTAGCCATATAGCCGTGAACCTGATAACCAACATACACCGTAAAGAGGCTTTGAAGGATTACCCTTAACAAGCATGCACTGTTGGCTGGACAGTTCAGTTGCCTTGTATTGGATTAGGGGGCAAGGGGAGCACAAGCAGTTTGTGTTGAAATTGTGTTCAGGAGATAAACAGTCATCATGGTGTCACATGGTGTTATGTCCCTACCGCAGAGAACCCAGCTGATCTCAGAAGTTGTGGAGGCTGTCTAGAGGAAGTAGATCAGTGGTGGCACAGGCCCAACAGGCTTGCGAGCTAAGAGAATTGGTCAGCCAAAGCTAAATTTGTTTGGAAAGTCCTGGCAGTGGCAGTTGACGAAGAGGATGAGGTCGAGAATGTATTATGCAGATGTCATATATGGAAAGCTGTATGTGTGTGTGCGTGGATGAGAAGATTCGCACACAACACTCTTTGCAGTTGAGGAAGAATGTACATTAAGGAACCACTGACAACTAAAGAAACAAACCAGCTGAGACTTCATTGGGAAAGGCAGGCTCAAAAGAGTGGTGAAGTTGAAAAGGATAGAGAGGTGTTGAACTTGTAGTTAAATCAGGAAGGCCTATTGGAGTCTCGGGGCCGATTGCAAGGAGATTACCCAGTGTATTTACCAGAAACCAGTCTATATTCCCAGCGAATTATTAAAGCCCACCTTCAAACCTTGCATGGGGGAGTGGGGCTAATGATGATCAAAGCTCGAAACTGATACTGGATCCCTAAGTTGAGGAAGCTGGTGAAGAAAGTTTGCCCAAAGTGCCATGGATGCAAAAGATTTCAAGCAATGGCAAAGGCTACCCCACCACCTGGATGCCTTCCAACCACCCATTCTGAAGGCATTAACCCATTCTAAGTGATA